AAGGGAAGAAGAGGTGGCCGGTGCAGTCCCTGCCCCCTCGGCCGTGGCCACCCCGCTCCCCACACGCTGCAGGTCCCTGCAGCCTCTCGGGGAGCTCCGAATGCTGCAGGTCCCCCCAGCTGGTTCCAGACAAGCTGCTGGCCTGGGCAGGCGGCTGCAGGTGCTGCCTGGTTGCTCACCCGAGGCCCAACTGTCCTCACTCATCGTTCAATGTCCTGAAAATGACTTGTCTATGAATCCAGTAGCCATCTTAGTACCTAATCCATCTAAAGATTTAGATTATAATGTTCTCCAACATGGAATACTGCTTGAAACATATTGCTGTATGCAGAAGATGTGGCTTAGGTCAGATTTTCAAGCGATGACATTTCTGTGTTCAACTTTAATCACACTGTGTTCTGAGGATCAAGCCCCAAAATGCAGCCAGTACAGTTACAATTAATTGTTAGTTAAGAATAACCTGCTCCTTTCATAAGGCATTGAGAAAAGTGCTAGAACTGTTGCTATAAGAAAAATTTACAGGCAATTTCCGGTCAAGTCTTCACAAGGATTTAAGAAAGTTTGTTTAGGCTCCAAAGCCCAAGCATCCTGCTCTAAAGACTCAAGGCTGCGAGAGTTCAGTTTCTAACACTGCAGCCGTGGTGGCCGGCCCACAGCAASAGGACAAATGTTATTCCTGCTGCTGTAGAGAAGATAAATCAGCATCAGCTTTAATTAACCTCAGTGATTTGGGAAGGAGACTCAGCATGCACCCTTAGCTAGCACAATTGACTAAAAACAATATCCGGTTGCTGCTCTCAAATAGCCCTTCCAGGTAAAATTACATGTATATTTAAAAAAAATAAAATCAGACATAGCGCCTTTAATGCGTTTCAGGAATCAACTGATAATTTGCCATCTTCCAGATTTACTGGAGTCTATGTAACTTTCTGAAGCAATAAGCTTGGGAAAAATAGCCAGATCCAAGCTGCCAGACAGAGGGATATGGCAAAGTCAGGGCTCTCTGTGCATAAAACCATTCAGTGCTCATTAGTTACAGCACAGGAGTGCCTCAAAAACTGCAGTCAACACCAGGGCCTCTCTAAGCAAGTGTGTGATCTGCTTTACAGGCTCTGCAAAYCTTGGAGAGCTTCTACCAACAAAGCGAGCAGGCGGATGGGAGACTCAAAGAGATGGGGTGATGGATGCCGAGTCGGTCGGATGGGCAGCTGAACAACCATGTCACAGCAAACAGGCATGGAAAAAAGGGAGCGGAGTTTAAGACAGTATCACTGAATTCAAATTCAGGAGTCTGGGGAGATGTGTGACGAGCTCGAAAGCTCTCGCCTTTCCTGCACTGCATCTCTCTCTTACATAGATTTGGTTTTCTTGGTTGAGGCGAGCAACACTGTGGGAGTAGGCAGTACTTAGTCCTATGGCATATAGTACTACACCAGCTTACCTGCATAAATCAAATGCTAGGTGTGTAGGTACTTTAGATATTATTGGCAGAAGTAAAATTTAATATAGTTTGCCGGCATGTGGAAAAAATTTAAGGTCCAATTCCATGAAGTCAGTGTGATTTTGGCCTGAATTGGCCATAGCCATCTGCTACCTATATTAAATAGCATAACACGCTCAATATAAATAAAATACATTCAGTTTTTATCTGGTTTGACATTTCTTATGGCACTGAAATTTTGTCATTTGTCAACCTGTATTTTTAGACCTCTTGGCCTGCAGCCTGGGCTCCATCTGGCAAAATTAGAGGTGTTCCTAATCCAAAGCATTTCAAAGGAATACTCCCAGGCTGGTAAATAAAGAACAAATTATAGCTGATTGCAGGTGAATGTAAAAGGATAGGCTTTATTCTGAAAATACAAACCATGAAATATAAGGTATTTCATGCGTATATATAATATAATAGGCAGTATTCCTTCATGTTTCTATACCAGCTCCTACCAATCTGTCAGCACATTACATGAGGTAACAGCATGGTATTTTGAGCAGTTACACACTGACCATGGTACAATATTTTAAAAGCCTTATTGTAACTGGGTGTATCTTTTCTTGTTAAGCTGATCACTGTGTTACCCACATTATAAATAGGAATGTAATATGAAAACCACGGAGCCTACGGACAACACAGTCAGGTAACTTGATCTAGCAGGTTAAATGCCTAAATTGCAGGGGTCAGGAGAATTTGAAATAGGCTCGGATGGAAGTCTCGCTCCCAACAAGACTGTGGGTCATGGAGGTTATTGTTGCAGTAAATGCACTAGCAACATTAAGAGACACAAGTAGATCCCTGTCTTAAGCCTACATAAAGAAGTCTTTCCTCTTGTATAATCTTGTATAATCTTGTATAATCTTGTAAATAAATAAGGTGATTTTACTTTAAAGCCTCAGTATATGCACAAGACACAACAAAGTGTGCCCTATGACCATGTTGTCTTTCTAAGGCTTCCCTCTAGTCTTCGTGTTGTGGGCCACACGTGTCGCCACCGGTGGAGCGGGTGCTGAGCACCCTGCCCACGGTGCCCAGCTCCGCAGGGTGGTTTATCCGGGTCCAGGGTTGGGCTGCGAAGCCCCGGCGCTGTCGCTCGGAGGAGGCAGTGACGCCCGGGAGGGCCCTTACGCCCACGCTCGGGCCACGAGAGGAGCTCCAGGCTCGGCCAGCGGCCTACGCGCGTCCTCATCCACCCAGGGCAGCACGTCGGGAAGGGCCCCAGAGGCAGCAAAGCTGCTAATGGGAATGGGAATCAAAGCTCGGGGTCTCCTCCAGGGACCTGGCARCTGCTGGTCACTCTTGAGAAGAGTCTCAGGAGGACATACTGGTCTCTGCTGAGATTTCCTGGAGTGGAAAAGGATCCCACATCTCCCCACTTCCTCCTAGCAACAGGTAAAAACTTAATTATTAATATTTAGCTCAGTTCTCATACATTTTCTGGGGATAGGATCAGGCACAGTCTCATTAGCCTCCAGGCACCACTGGCACTAAGTCTGACTCTGCTCTCCAGGAGCCTTGGATTGGCTTGGATTTTACAGTCTGAGCATGCACCTACACAGCCAACACATACGCACATCTGTTCGGTGCCATGAAACGAGTAATAAACTTATTCTCTTTCCATCATCGCCATTTGTCCAGCTAGGGGAGCTGGCAAAAATAAAGAGGGGAACAGGGAGGCAAAGGCAAAGCTGCAAATGGCAAGTGCAACAGTAATGCTGCTCACCAGCCAAGAACATGAGCTCATTTTAATCCTTTCTAAGTGTACATTACATCACAACCCCTTATCTGCCCACCCTTCCTTAAAAACTTATAAATCATATTGAAAATACAACATTAATCTTTACCACTTACCTCACCACTAGTTAATAAGCAGTGGGAGGGAGTTTCCTCAGGCAAAAGGCAGTGGTGAGAAGCTGACTTGGAACGAGCTCTAGTTTTGAGGCTCTCGAGCCGCGTGGCCGTCTCAACAGGGACTTGCCCAGGCCCCGTGTGCCGGGGCGCCCGGCGCCGGTGCCACCCGAGCTCCGCACCGGGCCCGGCAGGGCCGACCGCAGGGCGCCCAGGCCCTCCTTGACACCCTCGTTAGCGCTGCCTCCTTGGCCAGACATTAATTTCCTAGCACGTTAAGAACACACAGGAATCACTCTGGGGCATCAACAGTGTGACATCGCACAGCCCGATGCCTTCCTTGCTGCTCTGATTTTCTTTAGCTTGCTGGCTCCACAAGTGTTAGTTCTTTGCAACTCCTGCTCTCTGTGGTACACAAAAAATCCTTGGATTATCCCTACTATAGGAGGAATGTGGTTCTAAATTGAGTTTTGAGTTTTAAAAGAGTTTTACTGAAAATGAGTTTTAGTAAAAATGTGTTTTGTATTTAAGGGAAAACACTATTCCTCTTAAACCATGTAAAGATCACATCATTTTTTTCCCGTAACCTTCATCCTCTTGTTTTGTTGGTGCTCTGGTACGTGAGCACCAACATCACCAGCCCGGTGAGAAGGCACGTTGATTTGTCATTTAAAACTGATCCGCTATGTCCCTTTGATGTGAAAATCAGACCAGAAAGAAGCTAAGCCTTTCCTATGGTGAATCACAACGTGTCAAGTATATGAGAGCAAACCCTTCTAAGACACCTATCTTATTTATCTAAGGAAAGTAAAGCAACGTCATTGACATATGCAAACTATAACTGGAAGAGAGATTCAGCATTACATTATCAATTACAATAAATTATATGTCCACATCTCAAATCTACCTCCTGTAAATGATGACACTAATAAGTGTCTCCATGACCAAACCATAACTCTCATTTGAACAAAGCGTTTAGTCACCCAGGTACAATGTTTAAAATCCCGTTTCTTGTTTACGTGATTTAAGTCAACGCTCATGACTACATTTTTGGAACTTCTCTGGGTAAGTAAAACCTTGGAGCACAACATTTTCATTTTCCATTTGAGCTTTCTGAATGGCCCTTATCCCATCCTATAGGCAATAAGTCTAGGACATGTGCTATGCTTTTCTTTGCAATAGCTCTACTTGCAACTTTCATACTTATGGAAAAATGCAATAGGGAAAAATGTAGTGATGGAAGGCACTTCATTTCTGGCTTTATAACTCCTGACTTTATATACATACATATRTATATCATATATATGAATTCTACTTTTCTTGTCATCACTAAGCAGTAATTAACTCTCACTTACCATTGTTTCTTCTTGCAGTCTCTTGTATTCAAGGGTAACTCTATGAAGTAGGTGCCAGGAGGGGCAGTTTAAAATGTTTTACAGTGCTATGCACACAGATATAAACAGCGGCAGTGCAAGTGCTGCTGATCTCCCAAGAGCTATTCTCCAGATTTTGTTGGGATTAATGGTTAAATGTATCTCACAACACACCGCGCTGGGGAGCTGCTCCCCTGGACGACCTGCATTAACGCGGCCGTAGCCCCGCGGCCGCCTCCAGCTTTGCAGCAATGTCCAAAGCAGAGGCAGAGGAGCCGTCCCCTTGCGCCTCGGCCTCACACCCCTGGCTCCAGAGAGGGAGTGTTTCTCGGTCTCACTTTATTTCTTGATATGGTTTATAAGGAGAATTCAAACTCAAGCACCCCGGAGCAAAAATTAAGGCATAATCCATCTTCTGAGTTACAGCAAAAACATTCTGGACAGTATCAGGTTTCACTGCACATAATGGCTTTATGAAACCTATAAATGTTCCTGTGCTATAAAACACATTTCTCATTCCAAAACGCAAATTATAAGTCATTGAATCAAGACTTTTACTCTTTAGCGCTTTCAACGTACTTTTAAATGAAAGACACAAGATTGCCAAAGTAAAGATTTATTATAGTGTTTTTATTAACAAACTTTCATTGGAAAGCTCTGGGCGCAGGAGCAGAGGAGGCACATTGGCTTCGACGTTTGGCATATGACAGTCAAGAGAATTGCACTTCACCGCTGCGGCCGCGCTGCAGCAGCGCGGGGCTTCGCGGCAGCCCTCGCAGCGGGCGTCCCGCCCCGAGCGGCTCGCCGGGCGCTTCGCCGCCGCCCGCTCCGCCTTCGACACGGGCTCCTCCTGCACGGCGGGCTCAGYGGTTTTGCCCTCCGCCGCCTTCTTCTGCTTCGACGTGGAGGCTTTCTTGCTCTCGAGCCCGTTTGCATCCACGCCGCCCTTTCCGTCCCCCTTGTCCTTCTGCTGGCAGGATCCCTTTTGGCTGTTCGGGACGCTGTTCTCGCACTCGGAGCAGTGCACTATCAGAGGCCCCACATTTTGGCAGAGGAACTGCGAGGAGCTCGCCACCTCCGGAAGAGTTCTTACACTTTCCTCGGCGCTCTGACAACCACACGCATCTGTCCGATTCCCTCTCTGATGGGCCTGAAACCGGTGCACTGACTGGAGGAGGAGGCTGGCGTGCAGGGGGTTCTGCGCGGCGGCGGCTCTGGCGAG